AACAGGTACTAAGGAGTTATTCAAAGCTGCCTTCTTTTTGAACATTGTATCATCAAAGCTTTTTTTCTGTAAGAGACAGATTCTTACCTAAACTCATATGCTCAGCAGAAGCAGCAGAGAAAACAGGCTGACGTGAGAATAAGACCTGGCATCCCTTTTGCCCCATGATTGTCGTTCACCAAGTTTTCCCAGCATTATCCATTTTGTCTCTAGCACTCATGGGCTAATGACACAGGCTCTGTTCAGTAGTTCCCGTTTTGTACACACGTGGGAAGTATCCTGCTCAGGCGCAGACAGTCACCAGTTGGTGTCAGCAGCATTGTACAGACCAGCACAAACCAGCACTGTCTGGGCTAATGAGAGTTCAACATGCCTCTAACCGTGAGTGAGCATTGACTAACGAGCTGGTACAAATTCCTCTGAGTCTGCAGTGAGACAAAGTTCAGCTATGGCGATGACTGATAGAGCCATAAGGGAAGCAGATCTTCCTTGGAAAACTGCTGGCACCGCTCGATTTAGATAACTCCCTTATATGTCCTGGGAGGCATGCAACTAGCTTTTGTAGGAATTCACTTCAGTGTATGTTTTGTTTTAAAACTTGCTTGTTTTTCTGTATAGCATCTCTGATGCTAAGTGCTAAGTTTCCTATCATCAGCTGTAGCTTGGTCGAAGCTCAAAGATGCTGATACCCTTTGGGTTGCTCATTTGGCCTTTCGTAATTGTGTTACTGTCTTTCCTTGATGACATAGGAGATACAAGTACTGTAGAGATGAGGATAAAATTGCATGAGAGCAAGTCAATATTAGATGCTACTGGACAATCTTGGCCCCATTGGTCTGGTTCATGGGAGAGAGGCCTGAGTTGTGAAATTTAAATCCAGATCTGAAATTCTCTGAAGATCCCTGCAACAGAGACTGAGGCCATTCCTGTAGCATGGATTTGAAGCGTAGACTATGTAAAATATAAATGCATTAGTGCTTCCCGGGGTGGGGGGGGGGGGGGGGGGGGAGCATATTACTTCACTAGGGGTGTTAAGCTTCTTGTTTAAAGTATCTGCTATATGCTATTTTAGGAATATGGATGCCTCCTGAAAAGTGTCACTTCTCTTCCTCTAACATTGCCTGGGGTGAGCATAATAATTTGCTCCTCCTTAAGATCAAGGTGGATGCCGCACCCTCTAGCAACCAAAGTTGATAGCAACGTTCCTTGTGTTCCTTTCCCAGAAGGAAAAGTTGCTGGCTGTCACAGAGATCCTTAGACCCTTCCTTTGCTCTTTGGTCACAGCCTGCCCAATATCCTGCAAAGATCCTGGCTTCCAAGCACTGAGCCAACAAACACATGGATTTTGGAAGTGCTACAGGGAACGAGAGCATAAGTGCTCTGACAGAGCAAGCGCAGCATCTTGCTAATGAAAATGTAAGTATGAAGGTCTGCAGCCCCTTCCCTGGTCGGTGAACCAGCACTCTGAGAACGAAATCCTAATTACAGAGGGAAAACGGGAGCTGACAACCTCATCTACAATCTGTTAAAGCTGTGAAAAGCAGCATTTTGTTACTGGATGTGCTCTGCTCTTACCTTCCGCACTGTGATGGGAAAATAGCAAGGCAGGGAGAGAAGATCTGTGCTTGCTGGCACCAGCTGCTGGAGCTGTTCTGTGTTTCTAGGTGCAGTTGCAAGATCGGGATGAGAGGCTGTACACAAAGCTTGGAGACATGCAGGAGAGGATGGGGAAGCTGGCTGGCTCCAAAACAGATTTGTCAGCCAGACTGGTCTTCAGTGAAGAGGAAAAACTGAAGGTAACACAGGCACTTAGGGAGCTGGAGAGAACTGAGCTATGAAGCCTTATGAGCTCAATAGCTCTGCAGTGGAAAATCTAGTGAGAAATGTCAGTGCCTCTCTCCAACGGGGTGTGTGTTCCCTACAGCCCAGACTCTCCTGTAGGTGTTTCGACTAGTAGGACTGACAGCTGTCTCGCCAGCTTCCCACACTTCTTCCTTCTGGCATAGACCAGGACCGCAGGGATGTTTCTGTTTAGTTTTTCCTCTTTGAGGATTCTGTACTTGCCTTTTTATTTGGTGTGTCTGAGGGGCATCGTGCTTCAGTGGCAAAAGTCGGCCTTGTCGGAAGCTGTCCCCGGCTTTCTGCAGTGTTCCTCTTTTGCTAGTGTTCAGGTAAAAGGTGCAGCTGTGGGTCCTTTCAGTACTTGTGTCTCTGGGTTTCAGTTCCCTGTGTGACCTGTTGAAACAGTATGTTGGCCTCAGAAGCAGTCCATGGTCTTTATAATGTCCTTTCTCTCTCCCTCCTAGATTTCCAGAGACCTTGTGGATCTCCAGATTGAGACAAACAAAATGAGGGAGCAGTATGAGACAGAGAACTTTGAACTGAAAAATATGGTATGTGAAGGTTAAAGTAGCCCGTCTCTGTCAGATACCTTTACCCAGCACTGCAGTTTAGTTACACGTCCATCTTTGCTTTGTTTGTTGCTTGCAGTGATCGTGTAGCTTTAGCTAGAGTAGTGAGTGAGTTCCCCCATTGCCCCAGGGCCCATGAAACTCACGTGAAATTCATCTCTTTGAGTCGTAGTGTGCAAGAACCAGTCTGACCAAATAAGTGCCTAGCAATTGCTGCTGGTCCCTGTCACATAGCTTAAATCTGCTGCCTCCCCACTGCAGATCCTGTCCCTGGAGAACCGTGTGCTGGAGCTGGAGGTCTCCAGTGAGAAAGTCGCAGGGGAGCGGGATGCCTTGCAGGCACGTCTGCACGCAGTGGAGACCAATCGGAAGGAGCTGGCAGATGAGTACATCATTTTGAAAAGCAATTATCTGGCACTAGGCAAGGAACTTGACCAGGAGGTGAGACGGCCTATGGAGGATCTACAGACAACTCAATTAATTGTCTTTGGGTTGGTTAACCAAGTCGCAGAGCCAGCTCAGGTCCAGTAAGGTTTATTAGTTGGGACACAGCCTAGCTTGAACATGGCTGTTCTTGCTTTCTGGGCCCAAGGATTTCAAGTAGTGTGTCACACTGGCTTGCAGAACCTGCTGTGGTCCAGCAGGGATGGTGCTGAGCCCATGCTCAGAGAAAGGGCCAGGTCCACACTGATTGTGTTACATGCTGCTCTGGATACCTTGTTGTCAGAGTCTTGCTGTTTTCACATTATCCCGGATCCCCATCGCTGGCAGTAATGAGGAGTTCCCTGCAGGTCTGTTAGGAGTGCGTGTATTTCAGGTCCTTCTTGACTTCCAGTGTGCTTTGTTTTCCTTTTTTCTGCATAGTTTTCCTAGGCTGCATGTGAACTGTTTTGTAGTCACTCGCTGCATGTGGTGACGAGAAGGGATTGAGAGTTTTGAAGCTGACTAATTTATAAAAAGACAGAACATAAGCAAATCACTGATTGTCCCTTAAAATGTAGTGAATTTCCTGGTGACTGTTAGCGTAGTGATTATTAACTAACGTCTTTCAGACCCAAGTTCATGTATTTCTTTAGCATGAATAGCTATTTTAATAGACCTTCCTCTCCTCCCTCCTTCCCCCACCTTCTTGCTCACTTCCTTTTCAAAATGGATTTGGGGACTGACACACTCTTCCCTCCTTTCCTTGGTGGATATTTCAGCTTTATCGGCTTCATGGCCTGGTTTACTGTGCAGTCTCACTGCCTGCTGTGCTGGCCCTGTGCAGGGCTGTGATGGAAGGATGCGGGGCTGGGACCAGGTACGCCGGTTTAAGCAGTGCTGCAGCTGAACGTCGCCCCGTGGCTGACAAAGCCACACCAAGCGTGTGTGTCCGTGCCCCTCCTTGCCTCCCTGCTACCTGTCCAGTCTCTTTTTATGGTGAACATCCTTCTGCAGGGATCAGTTAGAGCAATATGTGAGGTCATGAACATCCAGTTGGAAATGAGTTAGTGACTCCTGTGAAGTCACCCCTCTTAGCGCGACTGCGACACCAAATGATGTACGTGCTCTTTGCCTGCTCCAGTTAGAAATTGAAAAACCGGTCTCAGCTAATGTGTTACACCTTGCAGCTGGGATGCGTGAAGAGCACACGCACGCAGACCGTCATTTGTCTCCTGTAAGCTGAGTGGTGGTAATTTCTTAGGAGGAGGCAAGCTCAGCTGCTTGCAGGGTTGTGAACCCCCCCACACACCCCCATCCTTACCTTATCCTGCGGGAGCACGAGGCAGGATGCGTGCAGCGAGCTGCTGAGACACAGTGCCGCCAGCTTCGCACAGGGATTTCACAGCGTTTAGTAATCTTAGTTACTTCTCGTCCCCAAGGGGATGCAGTATGTTAGTCAAAAATTGGATTTTCAGCTTGCTGACATCTGTAAATGATGGTTTTAATGGGTTAGTGGTAACAGTGTACCGTTTTCATATGGATCCTAGAGTGTCTGTATCAACCTCCCTGTTTTCTGTGAGAGAAAAGTGAAGCGCATGGATTAAGCTATTTGCCTGGCTAACATCCTGAAAAAGTGGTGAAGCAGAGATCAGAAGCGAAAGGTGAAATCCTTGGCGGTAGTTGGTAGGATCAGGATTTTACCCCAGTTTCTTGGCTCTGACTACTGAATATCCCTGCCTGAAGCAAAAGAAACTGCGACTTGGCAGGTTAGGACTTGTCGCAGTATGGGCCTCTTGCTCATTATTTTCCCAGTGTGGACTTTCCCAAAGGAAATGGCAATGGCAGCCTGCGGTTCTGCCCCCTCCCCTTCCCCAGAGCTCTTCTTAGCAGACAATGAACCTTTTACACATTCCCAATTACAAGTGCTACTTGTGACCTTGCCAATATGTTGTCATGGCTGCTTGGCACAGAAGCAGCTCTGCAAGCTCATTCATGGTCCCTTGTACGGGAACAGTTAGAGTCTCTGAATTGTTACAACCCCCATTGTATGTCCTGATTCACAAATCGCTCTGTGTCTGTCCAAGGCAAATGAGACCGGCTGAGCTGGCCTTTCCTGTCCCTGGGGAAGTGCCTTCCATAAGATGCCAGTCAGTCACTTTGTGCCTGTTTTCTAACTTGCTGTAAATTCTTCCTTTTCAAGACTCTGACCTTTTCTCAACTCTCCATTTCCTCCTCCTCTTTTGTTCAGCGGGCTTACACAGTTTGTATCGGGCGATGCAAAGTGAGGCCATCCGAGGGAACCCAAATGGCTATGAACCAGTTCCATGCAGGGGTTTTCCCTGGAGGAGGGCCAGGGTTTAGAGCACATGGGAGGCAGAGAAGCCCATCACAGACCTGGGACTGCCTCTTTCTTTTGCTAGCCAAAAAAGCTGGTACTTCTGCTCCTGTGTGACCCCCTCTGATCAAATTGTCAGCTCTGACAGCTGCAGATGGATCGTTTTCAGTTAGAGAACAAGCAGCCTGTCTCTGCGTAGCTGTCAGTTTTCACAGCTGTATATCTCACCTCTTTGTCAGTCTCTTTTCTCCTCTTCTCACTCCCTCAGCCCACCCTGTGCTATCTTTTGATAAGCTCCTCTCTACAGGGATGACTCAGATGACCTCTGCCTCCCATCCTCCCGATTCACTGCCATGGTAACAATTACTCAAGCTTGTCCCCAGTCATAAACCCCATCAAAGCTTTGTTATCTACATAGAAACCCTCCCGTGAGACATGAATTCCCCCAGTGTTCCTTCCAGATCACCTGTAACAGAGCCTTTCTCATTCAGATACTCTTTATCTTTTGGAAATGTGTCACTTCATACCAGCACTGCTTTGAATCTCGCTGCCTACACTGCCCGGTACTGTGGGCTGTCTGCTTCTGGAGGTATGCATTCAAACAAAACTGGAATTAGCTGGGTGGCGTCAGCCTAGATGGATGGATATTTGTCCATTCTCTGTTACATTATGTAGTCCGGCGCTGTTCGAAGCCATTGTTCAGGAAAAGACATGCCCAAAAGTGCCGGAAAGCTGTGTGAGGAGTACAGAAATAGAGTAATGAGGGAGGCAGTAGGTCAGGACAGAGAGGTGTTGGCAGAGCTGTGCCCAGGACTGGACTGGCATTGGGGTGCACTGGCACAAGGATCTGTATCTGAATGTGAGTGTGAGAGCAAGACGGGCCAAGGCAGTAGGGTTACCTGTGAATGAATAATCCTGCATTCTATAGCTGATGCCTGGCAATGATACCTGTCCTGCATTTCCATGAGAATTAGAAAATCCACTGATATCTTTGGACATATGAGAGAGAACTAAAAATAAAACTTGCTTTCGGGAGGGGATGTGAGTGCCTGCTTTGTGTATGCACCAAGAGCAGTGGGTATGTGCTGAACAAACAGCATGCGGAGCTGGAGGGGCAGGATTTCAGAAGCTCTTTCCTTCTTGCTTGACCTGGCAGGTCATGAAGAATGAAGAGCTCAGCCTAGAACTGCTCAACCTGGCCAATGCCAGGAGCAACCTTCCCCATTCACAGGACAACCGCTACCACTCCCACGCCAGGGACGACGAATCCTCTGCTGAGCTGGAAAGAGCGCGTGCAATGGTCCACCGTCTCTCTGCTCGAAAGGTGAAGGTAAGGATCTCTCTGCCCCTGTCACCGGTCTGAGCTCTTTGGAGAACAGGGATCTAATAGGTGCCTCCTTCTGTCTCTTATTAAAAACAGCCAGAAGATGTAGCTGCCCCTGAGCACGAGCAGCGAAAGCTGGAGAGAAATGTGAGTGTGTGGGGGCTGCTGGATCCCTTGGGAGGCTGAGGCGGGTATTTATTCAGAATGTGGCAGGCAGCGCCTTGTACTAGCTTGAATTTTTTGGATGATCTGTTGCCTTTATTTTCTTTTTCGAAGCTGTGCAGTGAAGAAATTAGACTAAAATGACGCCAGCTCTTGGGCAGACAAAAGCTGAGACAGAGTTCCCTCAGTCAGTGCCACTGGGTGAATAGAGGCAGGAGTCTAAAATGCAACACGTCCATGTCTGCAAAGAGAATGTCCAGCTTAGAGGGAGGAAGGCCCGGTGGTGGGGCTCTGCAGTGCTTGGAGACTTGCTTTTTTTCTTCTTGCAAGCTAGAAGAATCATAGGATCAGTGGAAATAGGGGAAGAGGGCACCAAGGAATAGGGGGAGTGAGCAGAGCTGCAGTGTCAGGAGACACCCTGGCCAAATGTCTTGAGGGGTGCTCCAGTAAAGTATTTGGTAGGGTACAGCAGTGATCCTGGCTGGTTCTGAGGCTGCTTGGAGAGCAGCACAGAATATGGGGAATGTGCCATTATTTGAAAACTATAGTGGTGATAAAGCACCCAAAAGAGAGCAGAGAGATGTTTCCTGCCTTGTTCCCATGTGCAGTCTGTGTGATATCAGCTTGGGTTCCACCACAAGTTACTCACAGCTTCTCCTGGGAAGAAGCCTCCTTCCCAAGAAGAAGCGAGAATCTCTGAGAAGATTCCCAGAGTGAGAATCTCCCTTGGTGGAGTGACACCTGTGCACCATGTGCTCTCTCCAGATCAAACACTGCTTCTAGTGTCTTACAGAGTATTGATCACTCCCAGTTAAACCCCTCCTTTCCCCTGTATTTCACTTAGCAACTGGACTTCTGCTCAGTTGGAGGATCTCCTCACTTTTCCCCTGTTCAAGAATCCCTCTGTTTAGTTTGGCCATCTGTCTCACCTTCCTGTTCATTTGTCTCTCAGTTGCTTGGAAACCAAGATCACATAAAAGTGGAGCTTGAAAAGATGAAGAAAACCTATGATTTGCAGCAGCAGAAGCTGGAGGAGAGAGTGTGAGTGTTTGAGGACATGTCCTTCTGTTGTCTGGCTGGGCATTTATGGAGCTCTGCTGCAGAATCTGATCCTTGTGAACACAAGTGGAGGAAGCATCCCTTTGGTGGGGAGGTAGAGGGTGGGAAATGACTGTTCATCCTTCGAAGAAATGAGGCTTGGAAGCAGACTGATGTTTTCAAGGACCTCAAGAGAGTTAGGGATCTGCTTAAAAGTCAGTAGTGTTTAGGTATCTGAATGGCCTGTGCACCTTTGAGAGATCCGCCTTTAATGGTATGCATGGGGAATGTGTCCCAGAGATGAAGCCTGAGTCTCCCAAGTCCTAGACCTTATCTCTACAGCTCTTCTTCCATAAACAGGCTGGAATGGGGTTAGTGTCATGGCAAAGGCTGACCCAGCAGGGGCTGTACAGAAGTGCCCTCTCAGTGGGGAGGACGTTTACCTTCAGTTGCAAGAGTTCTGTGGTCTCTGGTTAGCACGTATCCGATGGTGGCTGGCAGCTGCTGCTTAGATATTTCTGTCATTCAGTAGTGATTGTCTTCTCAAAGCTGTCTGTGCTGGCTTATAGAGCAGTTCAGGGATTTAACATAACACACCTTCTTCCTGTATGCTTAGGATCACAATGGGGAAGGAGCTGCAGGAGGCGAAGAGAGCAATCCGTGACACCCAGCACAAACTGGCGGAGCAGTCAGCAGTAAGGGCAGGCTCTCTTCCACTCCCCGGCTCCAATCCAGGCTCTGGGACTGTCCCTGCTCTCATCCACTCCTCCTGTGGTAGAGAACCTAAGTGCAATGCATGTGATTTCCTGGAGATAGCAGTGGATGTCTAGTCCTGGAGGTACTCCGATAAGTCTCTCTCTCCAGAGAGATTGTCCTACCAAGCTGCTCCTCCCTATGCAGGTTGCTCCTCTAGATGTACAGAGTACACAGTGGGACATGCTCCTTGCCACAGCTGGTGGGAGGAATTTTGCTCACTGATGGTGAAAAGAAAGGCTTGGTGAAATCACTTGGGGAGAATTGCAAATGACTGGGTAGCAGAAGAAGATGGACTGTAAACATTTCCAGAGGACTCCTGTGAAAACCCAGGCCCTTCCTAACCTCTCTGCTCTAGTGGAATTGAGTATCTGGAAATGAAGTCCCCTTCTCTTTCTTCTTGAAGCTGTTAGTGCTCCCCGCTTGGCTGGCAGGTGAGGGCTGCAGTGAGTGTGTCCTCTGTGCCTAGGTGCTGCTCACCTCCCAGAGCCAGCTCCAAGAGGTGGAGGCAGAGAACTCCCGGCTCCAGCTCAGGCTGAAGGAGCTGAACGAGGAGTATCGCTTCCGGCTCACACAGTACATCAAGGACTTGGCGGTGGGTACCCCTGGCCCCAGGGGCTCTCCTTGCCTGGAGACGTCTCTCCCGTTGGTGCAGGGCTGCCTGCTTCTTGCGGGCTGCTGCTGTTTCCCTCCTTTCTGGGCTGCAGAGCAGAGCAGCAGAGGGGCTTGGGAAGCTGTGCTTGCAGTTGGAAGGGGTCTCTCAGTCAGGCTCTGGGAGGCCTGGGTGTGCCTTCAGCTTAGCCCCGGGGGAGGAGATGCCAGCCCCGCTCCTAGCCCAGATTTGCTGTATGGCCACACCAAACGGGCTGTAGGTTGCTGCTGGGACTTTCTTTCTTGTTCAAATTACTTGAATTGAAAGATCCTCTTATTTATTGTGGCTGCCTTCCAGTTGGCTTCTAATCTCCATTGCCCTGACAACTTCCCTCAGCGGGCCAGACGATGCCACTGCTGGCTTTGTTACCGCCTCGGTGTGCTGACTCCATGGTGACTCTGTCCCTGGAGGAAGCTTTGCCAGCCTCCGTGATCGATTACAGAACCGTGTAACGCGAGTGCCTGGGCCTCACTATAGGAACAAGCACCTTTGACAGAGTGCCGTGGGGCCTACAGAGCATGCTGAGGACTCGGCGCAAAGCCAGAGTTTCAGACAGGTTCAGGCCCTGATACCCGATTATATTCAGCAGTGGCTGGAAAGAGGTCTCTCTCTATCCGCCCCAGGTAGCAGTAAGCAGTTTTTGGCAAGGCCTGCTATTTAGGGAGAAGGACAGTACCAGAGAACGCAGTGTGATGATGGATCAGGAGACTAAGCAAAGGAATTTTTGCTAGTAAGAATAGTTCCATTTCTAACAGAGCAATGTCGAAATATCTCCTAGCTAATGGACAAGAGAGCAGGGCACAGTGGAAAGAATAAAGGACTAGAGATGGTAATTCCTAAGGCTGACTTGTATTTCCCTAGACTGGTCACTGATGTAGCACAGCTGCCTTCTCTGCCTTGAAGGAGCCTGAAGGAAGTTAATTAGCCTTTCCTGCACTTCAGAAATGGAAGATATGCCCTATTCTATGTGCTGTTATCGCAAATACTCCTGGACCTTCCCTGTGGGAAATGGGTTAAACGTCTTAGGGAACAACTTGATGGTCTCAATTTCCTTCTCTTTATGTTTAAAGGACTACATGGACAGCAAATCCAGCAACCTGAAGGGGCCTAGCAGAGGCCCAGCTGATCATGCTCACATGAAACGCTTTGTGGACAGCATGCTGAAGGATATCAAGGCTTCGCACAAGTCTCGGGAAGAGCAGCTAGCTGGAGCAGCACGTGGCTACAAGAAACGCATGAAAAACTTAGTCAAGAAGCATGAAAACCTGCTAATTGCTTACAGGTAGGCCTGAGCCAGGGACCAGGCTCCCTCTCTTTCTCTTCAGCTATTGCTGAGGACTGGCTACAAGAGCTCTGCAGCACTAGCACCCAGCCCCATTGCTGAGAGGGAGGCAAACAGCGGTCTCGCAGGTGGAGCAGAAGATTGGAAGTCCGAGCTTACCTTCGTACTCTTGAAAAGCCAGGAGTGAGGTCCTCTGCTCTGGGATCAAGGTGCATCTGGGAACAGGCCAGAGCTCCTCTGTGCATGTTTCTCCCATGTACAGTTTTTGGTGAGAGATTGATTCCATGCTGAATGGTGTGAAAATGCAGCGGTACCCCAAATAACTCCTACCTCACAACCCTTCCCTTCCCTGCAGTGCTCTCAGCCCTGCTCCACAGTTCTCTCAGCAGCTTGCGCTGTGGGAAGCAGAAGAAATGCTTGTGGCATAAGAGCCACAAATAGCTCTAGGACAAGCTTCCCTCAGAAACACTCCTGAGAATATTGTGCATGCTACTGGGCTCTCCCACTTATCCCTTGCTGGCTCTTCCTGGTCAGAAGCCAGGAGGTCCTAAGCAAATGGTACCTCCAGCAGCAGCAGCAGCACTTAGTTTTGTTATTTAACCAAAGCTACTAGGGACTGACCCCTTTGGCTTGTTACAGGATGCAGCGAGAGCAGATCCAGGCCCTGGGCAGCAGTGATATGGACTCTGGCCCTGCTGAGTTCCACTTTTCCATCACAGACTCAGAGCTGCTGACAAACACAACCCAGGAGTTAAACCGGCTGCGGGAGGATAAAGCAAAACTGGAGATGGAATTGCATGAATTGCAGGAGAAGGTAGCGGCTGGTCTGCTGGCTTTACAGTGGCAGTGAAAAGGCATCGGTAGTGGGGGAGCATCTCCCAAGCAGATAGATTCAGCCTGATCTCTCCTCTTTCTTACTCATTCCCTAAGTGTTTGCTATGTCTCTGTGGCACACATGGGTAGTGCTTGCTCACTTTCTGATTCTGGGAAGAGACAGGTTGTCCAAGCAGCCCCATCACTGCTGCACCTCTGCTGTGTAGACGTGAGTTAATGTTAGATCCAGGAGTCTGGGCAGCCCCATAGGCTGGGGTCACTGAGCCCTCGGAGGGCTGAGCAGTAGCAGCTGTTAAGGGAGAGCTGCCAAGCCAGTAGACTCACGCGTTGGTAAAAGAACAGGAAGATAGGGCAAGGCTCGCTGTTCTGGAAGGTTTTTGCCTTGCCGTGAATAAATAACAGACCAGGAGACCACACTCAGAAACATGCCAGTCAGATCCCTGTCCTTCCAGTGATTCTGCCCAGGCGGAAGTGTGTTTCTTGATTTGCATGAGATACGTTTGTTTAAAAATGAAGAGGATGGGAGACGCTAAACCTTAAGATTGTCCTGCAGATCACTTCCTTGTCAGGACACTAGTGACTATTAAGAGCGCTAGGATATGTTGTGCTGCTTTCTTCAAAGTGACAGGGACTGTGGCAAGATTGCAGTGGTTTGATGCTTACAGAAAATACTGTTTTTCCTTTGCCTTCAGAAAAGACTGAAAGAAACCTCTGGCGCTGGGCTGTCCCCCAAGCAGTAAGTCCTGCCTGTTTCTTGGCATATTTGTAATTCTGAAGGCTCCTTGCTCTATGGTTCAAGAAGTCTTCTACATTACTTGGAGAAGGTAATAAATAGGGAGAAAGAGAGCTGATAGGGACTCGTCTGAGAGGAAAAGCCAGCTGTCATCTCAATGCAGCATTTCCTGTGGTGAAATGAGTTGGTCATTTGGGCCTTGATCCAAGAAAGCTCTTAAGCACATGTTTGATTTAATCATGTTTTTAGTCCCACTGATCTCTTTAAAAGCTGAAACTAAGCATATGCCTGAGTGCTTTGGAGGATCACAACCTGAGAAAGGCAAGTGAAACAACACCGAGTTGGGAAGGTCCTGTTTCTCCTTCCTCCCAATGCAGAAGCTGGGGCTGGAACACTTAGATGAGACTGTACCGATACCTCCCTGATTTCCTGACATACCATTTATTTGCTCATTTTGACCAGTCCCTTCTCCCTGCTCCATTATTCTGTTGAAACTCTACCCACCATAGTTATGGAGAGAGAGAGAGAACAAAGTGTAAGAAATCTCAGCTGGGATCTTTCTGCCTTTTAAAATGTGATAACCTAGCAAAAACAACCTCCGAGATTTTGGTAACTGGATTCCAACACTGAGGAGTTAGTGCCTGAGCCACTGGGCTCTGGAGTATCTCAGAGAAAAGCTTGAGCGCTAACCAGCCCCTGCCACATTTTCCATGCCGAACAATAACTGTAATCTCTGAGCAGATGCATTAATTTTGACAGACTCACTACAGACCAAGACCAGAACCTGGATGCTAGTGATGTATCTTGTTAAGGTTTTTATAGCTGCCAAGAGACTCCACACACTTGCATTTGTTTTCAGTATCCTGATGTTTTGTACCCTTGCTGTTACCTTGTTGCTCTAACTAGAGGAATGAAGGCTGGTATTAACACAGTACTTCAGCTACAACACCTGCTGTGATTCTCTTCTTTATCAGAGCTGTGTTTTTTACTGTTTATTGTTCTCTTAACTTCTGCTTCCGTGAAGTTTCAGCCATGATTTTCCAAGTACTTGGGCTGGGCGATTGCAGCCACCAGAGGGAACTCTCGCAGTCCCAGCACAGCCATTCTCCAGTCTATAGGCTGCAGAGCTTGAACACAATGCATTCCTCAGTTCATACAATCAAAATTCCCTGAACATCAGATGTGACCTGTATTTTGCTTATTCAAACTAGGACAGAATAGGAAGAACTTTCCCACGGTTAGACTGCACAGACAGCTCACCTATCCCACTCTGTGCTCAGAATGAGCGGGTTTGTGCTGAGAAACATAAAAAATGCCAGTGTTTGGCATTGATCGTACTCTGCTTTCTGTTTCCATAAAGTTCAATCCTGCAGTGTCAGGTTAATGACACTTTCTGCATGGAGTCATTTCTGATGTATGCATGTTGATGTGAACTTGGAACAAATCCAGCCATCGCAGTGGGAATTCCAGGTTGGCAGAAGGGCTATGACTCTCATTCCTGGGCATAGGGACAGCACTGCATGCCCTGAAGACGTTCGGGGCATCAGGATAGAAAAGGCTCTGAGCTCTGAGCTTTATGGTCTGGTGGACAAGAGTGTGTCCGGCCCCCATAAGGAGCTGCGTGACATGCAGATGAGCTGGCTTTGAATGTCTGTGCATGATCGAAATCTGCTTCTCTCTCCTAGGAAGCTGGATGAAGAGGGCTGGGCAGAGGTCAGGAAGCAGCTCCGGGAGTTTGCACATACCACCCAGGTACAGATCTTCTTTCCCAGCTCGTCTGAAACAAACTTAACATTTGTTCATGTTGTGAAGATTTGCTGCCCCAGCCAGGTGCTTCTCTGTGGCCAATGTGCTGCTCTAGACTGGGGCTTTGAGGCTTTCCACAGTGTCTTGCTGTGGCTTTGGACTCAGTGCAGCAGATGACTCTAGCAGGTCTATGGCCAGTAGTGTGCTGAGACTGTAGTTTCACTGCTACCAGAAGAAGTAGACTAGCCCTTATGGCTGCTCCTTCCTGGCCTATATTGCCTCCTTCCTTCTTTTAGCACAAGCGTTTAGGTATCTGTATAATGAATTGGATCTGTTTTTAACCTAGTCGAAACAACAGAAGTCTAGTTTGAATCTAGATCACCTTTCCAGTCTGGTTTTCCCTGAGTAAAAGGATGTTTGTACTGCTGATAGGTGGCCAGAGCTGGGACTGAGCAGCAGGGAGAGCTCTTTTCATTAGCAACCATGAGACTGTGGTGAGGTTTGCTGTGAGCAGGCTTGGCTGAGGTGGGGATCGCTGTCCGACAGCAAGCGCAGCAATGAGGGCTGCTTAGGAGAGGGGTAGGTATTGGGATGTTTGACGCAGCTGACTGCCATACACATACAGAAAAGCTGGGGGGGGGGGGGGGGACAAGATTGTTCCTAAATAAAAAAAAAAAGAGAAGGGGGAGGGGGGGGGGGGGGGGCGGGAAATGCTTTGGAAATGTAGCAGGGGTACAACTTTCTGCTGTAGGCAAAGCTAGATGTGCTAACAGTCTGCTAACAGTCTGCTTCCATGCCATGGCTTCCTCTGTCCACAACAACCAGAGGAAAAGTTCTCATCTTCTCTACGTGGGTAAAGTTAAACACAGTTTAGATAAAGCCAAAAGGAGGGAGACAATGTGGCTGAGTGGTTGGAGTGCTGCAGTGGGAACAAGTCCTACTCCTGGCTCAGTTGTGGCTCTTGGGGGTAACCTCTGTCAAGCCGCTTCCCCACCTGCTCCTCAGATCCTCTTAGCGAAACAGGGATTGTGCAATTAGGTGAGATGGTGACTTACTGCCCAGAAACGCTGTGTGAAAACCAAACAGTTGTTATCTAAATGGGAAGGTCACTTCCCTTTGCAGCAAGCTGCTGGCTGAAAGGTGTGAAAGCTCTCTGTGTCCAAGTGCCAAATAGGAAAACCAGTCTACTGATTGCCTGTGAGGTCTCCAGGGGAGCGAAGAGCAGCTTGGCAGCCAGGGGTTACCATGGGTCCTGGGGTGGCATTAGCCCTCTTGCTTGCAGTCTGGTGGTTACTTGGTCCACCTGGCTAATGCCGTGAGGTGGCCATGCCTGCAGAAAGCTGGGCTATCATCACCAGGCTCCTTTCTCTAAGCACATCACTTTTCTAGCTGGTTCAGTAGCTTAATGCCAAGCAGTGTCAGGGCTGGGTGATGAGGTAGCTTCTTTTTTGGTATCGCTGGGCAGGAGAGGAGCCATGCCACCGCACTCCCATCTCACAGAGCTCCCCGTTTTCTCCATGCTTTTCTCACCCCTCCAGGAGGATTTGGAGACAGAGAGAAGCCAGCTGCTGACTCGGGCAATCGTGGCAGAGGAACAGGTGTCAGAGCTGCAGGAATACATCGATAAGCATCTTGCAAGGTGAGACGGAAGGATCCCCATTCACATATTCTCTGCTTTGTGTTCCAAGTTTATCTCCAGGGCTAATTGCCAGAGACACCGCCATGCCCACTGCTGTGTCAGCACCTGACATCGCTGCTGCCTTCCCACAGCACAGCTCATGTCACACAGTACATCCAGCTGTGAGGGCAGCTGGCGCCATCCATCCTTCTGCATGGCAGAGGGGGCAGCATCTGGCCTGCCAAGGGACGTGTCTCCTTTGCCGTTAGCCCATCCTTTGAAGGAAGCTAAGGAAGAGAAGAGGTGGCTTAAAATCCCAAGCCTTCCAGCAGGCCCTGATTTAAGGTCCTCTCTCACTGGCATATCATGCCCCAAAGTGGGGAGAACAGCTGCTAGGGCAAGGAAGGGCAAGTACAACCAGAACAAATCTGTCATTGCAGTGGTCCAGCCAGGTGCCTGGCCTAACTCACTAGTCATCGCAGCAGTAAAGCTGGGTCAGACTCCTGGGCTTGTTGCTGGTGCTGTTACCTGGCATAGTTCATAAACACCTCTTCCTAGGGAAAACTGGGAGGAATCCAGCATGTCCCAAAGTTTACTAGGGTATTTCTGCTGGGCAGCGCGTGAGCATGAGCTGTGGTTTTGTATCTGTCAGGACTCAGATCTCGGTGTGGCTCAGTGCCCGGGTGCTGGCTGGTGTGCGTTAACTTGATGGTGCCTGTGTTTGAACTGCTCCTGTGAGTGAGCTATCACTCAGGGTCGTGATCACATGGGGAATGATGTTGCTGCTTCCCTGTTGCAGGTACAAGCAGGAGATTCTCCGGTTAAGGAAACTCGTTGGCAGCGAGGTACCACGTGCACTCAGCGCTGGGGCCACTGATACTCACTCACTGCAGAGATCCAAAAGGACCGTCAGCCATGAACTATAGCCCTTCCCCAGGCCTCCGAGAAGCAGCAGAATTGGAAGAAAGAGCAGGGTTTAAAAGGAAGGGGCTTTCAGTTCTGTGGACTGGCTGAGGCACGTATTCATCCCTTGGCTGAGGGCTGGGACATGCAGAGAAGGAAACCACGTGGGTGTTCTCAGTCTCAAATTAACAGTACTAAAATGGGACAAGACAACTGTGTCTTGTCTATCCTCTGACCCCTTAGCTGTAGGAATGGTTCTGATGTTCCCTGAGCACATCACAACTGGGGACACGGGGCCATTTCCCAGGCAGCTTTTTACTGCGTGACTGCAGTGACAGGTTCCCACTCTTGCCTTCTGCTAGGATGGTGCAATAACATTTCTGCCAGGTCAGACCCAGAGCAAGGCGCTCTGAGTCTAAGTGCTAACTCTGCTTCTGCCTCTGCCCCCTTCTGAGTTTGTGAAGGATGAGGCCAGGGAGGGTTCAGGCTACACTTTAGCTCTAAGAGGTTGGACAAAGGGGATCAGCTGCTCTTTCACGGTGGGAGAACGTTATTTCTCTGTGTTCGGTGGAGAGCTGGACACCCGCCATCCTGAGCCCTCTTCCAAGGGACTTTGGAGCAAAGCTTGAAGCAGGGAGCACACCGGCTCTAGAATCACCTTGCAGCTCAACAGCAAAGCAAATGTCTCAAAGAAAGAACCGTCCAAGTATTTATTGTGAAAAATTAATCAAAAATAAACTAACAAACATAAAGAAAGAGGCACTGAAGATTTAGCCCTTAAAGCCTGTGGTAACTCTAGGATTTCTAGATTTGATTCCCTCCTTCATTCTCCTAAACTGACCAGACTTTGGAAAACAAGGAGGGCCTGTGATCCTGCGAGTCTCCAGGCGAGTCTGGCAAAGCATTGCTCTCACACCCCCATTCACTGCTATCTTGGGCCACTGAGCTGAGACCACTGGTTTGGAGAGGCTCAGACAGCGTCTCCGATCCCTGCCCCTTAGCTGGTGACCCTTAAAAGGCCAGGCTCTAAATGAGCTGCCCGTTAGACTGAGCTTCCCTCCGCACTGGTCTGTGCTGCTTGCCGCACCTCCTTCATGTCATAGGCCCAGACTTGATCCAGCCCCTCGCCAATGGTGCTGGCTGGAGTCCAGGATGGGAAGGGGAAGCGTCCAGCCACCACTCGGGCCTCATCTGGCAGTTCTGCAAGGAGCTTGGCAGCTAGGGGAGGTTTCTGGGGAGAGAGAGAGACAGCCAAAGCCAGAAGGCCTTAAAAAATAATCACATAGTTCCAGTGACTCTGCAGCATAGCACAGCACTGTACCACACGCTCTCTCCTAGGCTGTCTGGCCACTACTGGGGATGAATTTGACAAAGGGAAACGGCTTTGGTGATGCGGGAAGCCTGAAACACCAATGCTTGTGGTTCTGCATTCAGAGATGGACTCTCTCTGAAAGGTCACTTAGCGTCCCAATAAAATGTGTTTCCCTGGAGCGTCTCCACCTGGAGACCCAGCCGCATGCGACTTCCTTATGGTAGTGCCACCAGGGAATACAAAACAGTTTCTTTGCATGCTCTCAGCATGGCTGGTGGGTCCCACGCAGACAGCATTGCCTGAAGCCTGTTCCAACACGCACGGCTGGTTCTAGCCCTACACATAGTTGGGATTGGGAACAAATTCAAGTGATGCTGAGCAATTGCTTACACACAGTGAAGCCCACACGTATTGCTAGTTCTCAGCACTCCGTAAGACTCGCTTCTTTGCTTGCATTTTGGGGCACTAAGACTGATTTTGCGGTGTTGACTGTAACAGGTGCTCATAGTGACCAGTAAGAGTGCCAAATAACAAGCACCGCAGGGGACATGGGGACAGTGCTCCCACAAGGGTGCTTCAGGATGATGTGTGGAAGAGAGTCCCAGAACAGGGTCACGTCCACCAGCTACAGTGGGAGCAGGTTGCATTGTTAAAAACACACTCCAGTTTGGCTTTTTATTTCAACATGTGCAATTTTGTGTTTCTCTTTACCTCTGGCCTCTTTATTTTTGGCCTTATTTTTTAAAGAGCGTTTGCCAGTGTTCCAGATATTCTGTCTTTTCTAAGAAACATCCAAGAAGCTTGCTCAGAACAAGAGGGTACCACTCTCACTGTAAGCATCTCATAGCAGGCTCCACAGAGAAGGACTTACCACACTGGGAGCCAGGAACACAGTCACATTGTAGCAATCAGAAAGATTCACCTTAAAAGAGAAGAAAGAGGGGAATGAAAGAAGCAACAGAGAGAGTCGGGGCTGGGCTAGGCCAAGGGACTCTGAACTCTTTGAGTGGTCAGACAATTTGCAGGTGACGTTCTAGACCTCAAAGGAATCAAAGACGCTAAAGGACATCTGGGAAGGGGGTCTGTGCTGGTATGCTCTGGTACCAGCTGTGAAAGAAGTATGTCAGTCAAAAAACCTGCATTCGACGCTGTCTCACGATCCTAGACCTGCTCTTCCTGGTGGCGCTTTCTCTAGTCTGTTATCTGATCTGAAGAAGTTAGCTTTTTAACAGCATATCTTTGGCATTTCAGTGACTGTCAGCAGCAGTAGTCAATAATTAAGACATCTCTTCAAAGCTGCCCCCTTGCTGCTCTGAGAAAGAGCATTGTATGAGCTAGAACAGCAGGGCCGTTGGCGAGGATGCCCTGCGTGGCTTTTCTCTGGCTGCTGCTCTTGGAGCGGAGGCTGCCGTGTACCTCTCCCAGGAGCAGAGTGGATTAGAAAAGGAGCCAGAAGCCTTCAACTAAGCCTGTTTGGAGGAGCAGGCCAAACCTCTGGTGCTGCCCTAGCTAAGGCACCAGCGCACGTGTTCAGCAGTCAGATAGATCACAGAGCCGTGTTGAGAGCCCTGCCCTCAGCCCAGCATCCTGTTACCTTCCACAGATCTTGCTTCAGGAAGGAAACCTTCCCGTTATATCCAGCCTTCCAGGCCCGATAGTTGGAGAGGCGCAGCAGCCAAGGGTTGAGCTCATAGCCAACGGCTGGTCTCAGGCCTTGCTTATAGGCCTCTATTACCTAGAGGAAGAGAGTTGCACCTAAAATGAACTTTCTTGTTTACTTGAGGGTGCCGGGGTCGCTGGCCAGCTTCCACTTGCTCCGTCAGGTGCACCTACTGCGCTGCCCGTCCTGGAGCAGCCGTAGCGGGCAGGGAGGTGAGGGCGCAGTGGCCAGCGAGCACAGGCCAGCGTAGCCGGCAGCGAGGCTCAGCGCGTAGCACGCTTTGCCCAACTACGAAGCCGGGAAGGAGCGGGAGCGCTCCTGGTAGAGCGATGCCTGATCCCTCGCTGGAGGGTGCAGCTCAGCACCCTCCTGCTGCGTGCTGCTGTGCTGCTCCGGGGCCAAGCAGGGCTCGGCCCACAGACCCCCGTCCAGGCTGCCCTGGTGCCGCTGGAGGTGCCTCGCCTCGGCGCAGCGGCTAACAGGCCCCCGCACGCCCGTGCCCCCTGACCAACCCGC